ACATGGAGTGGAGGAAGAACAAATAAAAGCTAATTAAGATTTTTGTCCTAAGTGGAAGAAATACTAATTAATCTTTTTTTAGAAAAATGTGTTATTTAAGCTTTAGGAGTAATCAGTACAGTAGGTTCAGAATATATAACTTTAGAAAAAACTGATTAAGAAAATCTTGATCAATAGCAACAAAGTAAAAGAGGCACAGGAGAAATCAAACCAAAAGCAAAGAAAGTAGAAAACAACAGTAAACGTGAACTGGTTAAACTTGTTTACTTTAAGAAGTGTCTCACACCAAATAGAAAAAATTTTCAAAATAAAACCCAGTATATATTATTTACAGAAAATAAAACATGATGCAGAACGTACAAAACAATAAAGCTTTAAAATCTAGGAAGCAAAAACTAATATAATCTCATGAAAAAATAGACAAATCCACATTCACGGGTATTGACACTTTAAAAATGAATAAGTCAGATAGGTAAAAAGATAAAAATGAAGGACATTTTTGTGTAAATATAATTATTATAAGCCTGTTCTAACACATATATCTTCACACCTAAAGACAGACTACACATTCTTTTCAAGTATACATAACCAAATATACAAAACCAAACATAAAATTCCAAAGAGGTCTCGAAATATTCTAAAATAAAGTCATAAAGGCCACATGTATTAACAATAAAGCAATATAACCAGAACTCTATATAAAAGGGGCTTAAAAATTCCCTATCTATAAAATTAAAATAAAAACTCCTATATAACCTTAAATAAATGAAAACATTAAAATAAAAATGATAAAATCCACCCTGCCAGGGTGACTTGGTTGGTTGGAGCATCACCCCATGCACTGAAGGTTTGTGGGTTTGATCCCTGGTCAGCACACATACCTAGGTTGTGGGTTCAATCCCCAGTCGGGGAGTGTACAGCATGTTTCTCACATCGATGTTTCTCTCTCACATCGATGTTTCTCTCTCTCTCTCCCCCTTTCTCTCTCTCTAAAATCAATAAACATATCCTCAGGTGAGGATTTTTTAAAAATTATGAAACTTAAAACTGTAAAACATAAAAACTTAATACCCTAAAATATATTTATTAGATTAAGAAAAACTCTGCACAGCAAAGGAAATCATCAACAAAATAAAACGGCAACCTAAGAAAAAATACTTACATATCATATATATATGGAGTTAATATCCAAAACGTAAAAATTTCATAGAACTCATTACCAAAAAAAAAAAAAGTGATTAGAAATGGGTGGAAGATCTGAATAGATGTTGTTACAAAGACCTACAGATACATGAAAAGATGCTTAACCATCACTAATTAGGAGAGAAATGCAACTCAAAACCGCAAAGATGTATCACTTCCCACCTGTCAGAACAGCTACTATCAATAGCCAGTGGCCAGGTAGTGGATAAAAGGAAACTCTTGTTCATTGTTGGTGGGAATGTAAACTGGTGCAACTACTATGGGAAATAATTTGGAGGTTCCTCAGAAAACTAAAAATAGAACTAGCATATGATCTAGTAATTCTACTCTTGCGTGGTTATACAAAGGAAAAAAAACACTTAAGTTGAAAATATATATGCACTCTCATGTTCAATGCACCTTTTTTTTACAACAGCCAAGATACAGAAACATCTAAGTGTTCCTCAATGGGCAAATGAAAAAAGAAAATGTGACATATACAAAGTGGAATATTATGCAGCCATAAAAAGAAGTAAATCCTGTCACTTGCAACAACATGGATGAAACAGGAGGCTCTGCTAGGGGAAATGAGCTCATGGATACAGAGAACAGACTGATGGCTGTCAGAGGTGGGGGGGTTAGTGGTTGTGTGAAATTAAAAATGTAACTATGTACAGTGATGTATATTAACTACACTTACTACGGTGATCACAACACATACAAATAAATCATTATGCTATATACCTAAAACTAATATAATGCTATTTAAAAAAAGTGAGTAAAAGAGAAAGGGACAATGAAAGAGCTGACTAAAATTTTACCCTTTGCAACAGTATGGATGCACCTGGAGAACACTATGCTGAGCCAGTCAGAGAAAGACAAATGCCATATGATTTCACTCATATGTGGAATCTAATGAACAAACTGAACAAACAAAATAGAGACAGACTCACTGATGGACTGCAGGATGACAGCTAAGGTAAGGGGAGAGAAGGGGGTTGGAGGGACTGAGCCCAACGGAAAAAGGACTCATGGACAACAGTGTGGTGATGGAGGGGGGAGGGCAGTATAAGGGGACTAAATGGTAATGGAGAAAAATACAATAAAAAATTATTTTTAAAAAAGAGCTGACTCCTCTAAAAAGAGAAAAAAAAAACCCCAGAGACTCTTTTTTTAAAAATTTTTTTATTGATTATGCTGTTACAGTTGTTCTATTCCCCCCTTCACTCCCCTCCACCCTACCTCCTATCCCCACCATTACCCCCCTTTAGTTTATGACCATGTGTCTCAAGTCCTTTAGATTCTATATTTCCCATGCTATTCTTGCCCCCCCATCTATTTTCTATCTACTGTCTATGCTACTTATTTTCTGTACCTTCTCCCCCCTTCTCCTCCTCCCACTCCCCTGTTGCTAACCCTCCTTGAGATCTTCATTTCTATGTTTCCATTCCTGATCTAGCTGTCCTTTTAGTTTGCTTTTGTTTTAGGTGTGGTTCTTAATAACTGTGAGTTTGTTGTCCTTTCACTGTTCATGTTTCTTTAACTTCTTTTTCTTAGATAAGTCCCTTTAACATTTCATATAATAAGGGCTTGGTGATGATGAACTCCTTGAATTTGGTCTTATCTGAGAAGCACTTTATCTGTCCTTCCATTCTAAATGAAAGTTTTGCTGGATAGAGCAATCTTGGTTGTAGGTCTTTGGATTTCATGACTTGGAATACCTCTTTCCAGCCCCTTCTTGCCTGTAAGGTCTCTTTTGAGAAATCTGCTGACAGTCTGATGGGGACTCCTTTGTAGGTGACTGTCCCCTTAGCTCTTGCTGCTTCTAGGATTCTCTCCTTCATTTTAATTTTGGCTAATGTAATTATGATGTGCCTTGGTGTGTTCCTTCTTGGGTCCAACTTCTTTGGGACTCTCTGAGCTTCCTGGATTTCTTGGAAGTCTATTTCCTTTGCCAGATTGGGGAAATTCTCCTTTATTATTTGTTCAAATAAGTTTTCCACAGGTGGCTGTGCCTTTCCCCCTTCTGGTACCCCTATAATTCGGATATTGGAGCGTTTAAAGATGTCCTGGAGGTTCCTAAGACTCTCCTCATTTCTTTGAATTCTTGCTCCTTGACTCTTTTCTGTTTGGCCATTATTTGCTTTCTTCTGGTCCACTCCATTGATTTGAATCCCAGTTTCCTTTTCATTGCTATTGGTGTCCTGTGCAATTCCATTCATTTCAATTAGTTTTGCCTTCATACATTTGTCTAATTTGTGGCTATAATCAACCAGTTCTGTGAGGATCCTGATCACCAGTGTTTTAAACTGTGCGTCTGAGAGTTTTGCTATTTCTTCATTACTTAGATCTATAGGCTCTGGGGTTTTGAGATCTTCTTGAGCCATTTTTGGTCTGTTCGTGCCTATTAGGTATGACAAGCGGAGCCTTGGACTCCCAGGTCGCTGGGTTGTGACACTGTATGTGGGGGCATGGTAAGAGCGGGGAAATGGCGACCCCCTCTGCTGTTTCTCACAGCTGGGTGAGGATTAGCATCTTAGGTGGTTCCCCTGGGCCGGGCCACTCAGAGTCACTGGGTTATGACGCTGTATGTGGAGGTGGGGTCAGAACAGGGAAATGGCGGGGCCCTCCACTGCCGCTTGCCGCGGGGACCCGCCAGGCCGGGTCCAACCGCCCACTCCCTCGCCTGTCCACCCGCGCACAAATGCGTGACCACAGTCAACACGCAGCCCCAATCCCCTGCTGTCTCCCCCGCCTGGTCCCTTGCTCGCTCGATCACTAGGTCCAACCCTGCGCCTGGATTCCGCGCCTGAGTCTGGCTGACCGAGACCTCCTGTGCAACCCTGCTTCACCAGCCGCTGGTTTCGCCCCTTACTGGTCAGGCTGAAGAATTTGTTGTTAACGGACTTCCGAAAAGTTCAATTTTCCGTGTTCTGGCTGTGTTTTCTATTGCTAATATTTAGTTGTCTCTCAACTTGGTTGTGTGAGAAGGCACGGCACATCCACCTATGCCTCCACCTTGGCGGGAGTCCCCAGAGACTCTTAAAACTAAGAAATGTCAGGTATAAAAGACACCACATAGAAGAAATTACTCCAGCCCTACCTCCTACCCAATGTCCCCCCCACCCAACCCACACACAGACCTTGAGCAATAACACTGGCAGCCAAGCTTCTGTCAGGAAAATCTGAGGTTTATTGGTTAGAAAAATAAATGAAAGAGGCGTGGAACTTAAAGATAAAGGCAAAGAAAAAGGAGTGAGGCTGAAAACTGGGAGATTAATACAACGTTTCAACTACAAGGAATGGTCCAAGTTATATAGCTAACCCTAAGATAGAGAATTCAAAATTCAGTTCCTGAATGGTCCTGGAAAATAGAACTCCACAAATATGTGAGGATCTGTCAGCTAAAACATCCACTTTCTTGACCAATCACCCTAAAACAATTTTGCCATCAAGTCCCACTCATGAAAACAAATTTGTAATTAGGTTTTTAATGCCCTACTCTTGACATAACTAAATAAATTCCTTATAATTTAATTTCTGCTATTAAAGTAACTGAATCCAATTTTATCATTACCCAAATTAAAAACACAACAAAACAAAAACTATGGCTACACAGCTGCAAAGATCATAATGCAAATCTACGAGTAGTTTTGAGCAATTTTTCTTAATTATCCTTTGTGCAACTGGTATAATAAGAAATAAAGAATGATAAAGAACTTAGATAATTCCCAAATAAGAGACTGTCCCCAAATCCAGACCCAAACTTAAATGTTAGAGCAAATTAGCATAATAAAAATTTCAATATAAAATCTTACATGTTTATCTTTCTTTTCTATAACATCTTGTTTTTGTTTGCATTTTTGAGATGTCTCCTTAATATCTGTTGCCTGTGAGATTGAACCAAAAAGGGGAAAATTAGTTAAAAACTTAAGCAAGCAAATTATGTGCTCCCCCCATCCAAGTGTTGTTATGTAAGTTAACCCTCAATACTTTTCCATTTCTTTAAAACCAAATACATAATTATCCCCAAAAATACATTACTTGCAAATCTATATAAGGTTATTCCTGATATTGAAAAAAACAGCAGCAATATGCAGACATATTTTTTTTAATCTCCTCACACTTATTTTCTCACATTTTCACTTGATCCTAAAAACAATCCCACAGGACAGCAGGGTCCATAGTTTAAGCCATCTTCCAAAATAACCTTTGACTCCAAATCTCCCTAAAGAATGAAGGCCATGATCATCAAAGTTTAGTTATATTTTCAAAATACATGTAATATTCCAAATGCCATTATACTACTTATTCTAAGAAACAGCAAAGTTTTCTGTATCACCCTCCTCTAAAAGGGGATATATTTAGAAAGACAATATAATAAATTCACAAAAAAAGTTCAGTTTCTAAAAATACTACTTTGAATCCTCTTATAATTAAAACAATCACATTTCATTTTTCTCTTTTTGTATCTTGTATTTCTATAAAGCAGCAACCTTCCAATGGTGATGATTAGAACCTTGAAAGCCCTGTGGTGGTAAATTTTTAGTCAAAGAATTTAAGGAACCAAAGCAACAAGGAAATCTGCAAAGTATTTTTGTATGTGCTAAAATAAAATAGAGAAAGTCCAAAACTGAGCCAGAAAAGTACCTTTGCTTTGATTCGAGCCTCCAAAGTGTGACGCTGGTTTTCAATTTCTTGAATTCGACTTGTCATAGGAATCTGCCCATCTTTAAGTCTTCTGACTTCATCCTTCACTCGGTCACGAGCTAGCTTTACTTCTTCATATTCCTGACGAACATTTTCATATTCCTTGCAATTATGAAAAAAAAAAAAACAACAAAAAAAACAGAAGTTAATGCACTACTAGTTTAAACTAACACATATTCTAAAATCAAGATAGAGGCAGAAACTAAATCTATGAAAAGAGTTTTGACATCCATTTGGCGGGTGTATTAATACGAACATTTTGCCCTCTGAAACAACTTCAGAAATGGTGAACACAGACACAATGATTTACTAAGGGTCTTGATGCTCACTGAGCATTTATCTCCATCAGTAGTTTGGATCCGCTGATGTCCATCTCTTCCTGTTTCTGAAACTATAACCTACCTAATGGTTACTAAAATGAGGTTCTCCTCTAGCGTTTCAAGGAAAATGAGATACAGGAATGTATATAGAAGCAAAAGAAACTCAGTTATGAAAAATAAAAATGAAAAAAGTAGGAGACAAAAGGAAAGTTAAGTAAAAAAAACGAAAAGATGTATGCAGGTAAAAATGGTGCTTGTCATGTTATAGGAATTAATAAAAATAAGTGGAACACTAGAGAAGTAAAGAGCGAATGAGATGAAGTTAAAAAGAGAAAAGAAAAACAGAGTAAAGCAAAACAGTAAAATGAAAAGTTACCGATCTCATTCTTAAAAAGTAAAAAAAAAAAAAAAAGAAAAACCAAAGACTTCACAAAATAAGATAAAATAGGTGCAAAAAAAAATGGATGTATAAAAATGTAACGAAAACAAGCTGAAGAAAGGAAAAAGTTTAGTAATGGCATTCTGGGGTAGGGTATGATGAAGTAGGGGCATGGGTGAGGCATGGGATAGACACAAAGACAAGTGCGAATTTTTCCAATCTAGTAACAATTACTTCCATTCTAACCTTGGAACAAGCATTATAAAACTTTCTTATTCCGTTTTACCCACTGTAAAGGAATGCATTGTGGGAAGTGAATCTTTAGCCAAATTGTGCTCATAAATAGTAAAATATACATCATACAATGTTTACAGATAGTAGCCTCAGTAAAGCATGTGAAAAGATTATAGCTGAGTCTATGGCTGAATGTGGTATTAGTGGCACACTCAAAGTAAATTTTCAGTGACTGGAGGACATTCAAAAATTTAATTTCTGACTTCCAGCCAAGATGGAGGCATAGGTGGAAATACTGTGCCTCCTCACACAACCAAAATTAAGGACAACAAAGATTTAGAAACAAAAACACAACCAGAACAGACAGAAAACTGAACTGTATGGAAGTCCGACAACCACTCAACCAGACCAGTAAGAGGAGCAGAGTCGGCGGCCAGCTGAGAGGGGTCGCAGCAGGAAAAGGTGGTGGCTGCTACACCCGGGCCCAGGAGCACAAGCGGCGCAGGGCTAGCAGACCAGGGGCATAGGGAGGAAGCAAGCAGAGCTCGCAAAATGGTGTGACTTCCATCACACATTCACATGCAGATAAATAAGGCAAAAGCAGGCAGCGAGCCAGACCGTGCAACTCAGGGCCCCAGCTATGGGAAGCAGACTAAAAGCACTGATTGAAAAGGTGCCAGGAAACTCCCAGCCTCACAGGAGAATTTGCTGGAGAGACCCACAGGGTCCTAGAATGTACATGAGCCCACCCACCAGGAACCAGCACCAGAAGGGCCCATTTTGCTTGGGGGAAGCGGCACAAGGTACTGAAATCCGAGAGCAGAGCAAGCACCATTGTTCCCCTCTCTGACCCCGCCCCCACATACAGTGTCACAACCCAGGGACTTGGGTTGCCCCACCCTGGTGAACACTTAAGGCTCTGCCCCTCACTATGTAACAGGGGCTGGGGGGACCTGACCACCCCCCAAAAATGGCTCAAATGGAAGAACAGATCAAAGCCCCAGAGCCAATACATCTAAGAGACCAAGAGATAGCCAACCTATCAGATGCAAGTTCAAATCACTGGTGATCAGGATGCTCACAGAACTGGTTGATTTTAGTCACAAACTGGATGAATAAATGAAGGCTACAATAAGTGAAATGAAGGAAAATGCACAGGGAACCAACAGTGATGGAAAGAAAACTGGGACTCAAATCAATGGAGTGGACCAGAAAAAAGAAAGAAACAACCAAACAGAACAGAATGAAGAAACAAGAATTCAAAAAAAATGAGGAGAGGCTTAGGAACCTCCAAGACATCTTTAAATGTTCCAACATCTGAATTACAGGGGGACCAGAAGGGGAAGAGGAAGAACAACAAGTAGAAAAATTATTTGAACAAGTAATAAAGGAGAACTTCCCCAATCTGGCACAGGAAACAGAATTCCAGGAAATCCAGGAAGCTCAGAGAATCCCAAACAAGTTGGACCCAAGGAGGAACACACCAAGGCACATCATAATTACATTACCCAAGATTAAAATGAAGGAGAGAATTCTAGAAGCAGCAAGAGATAAGGAGGCAGTGACTTATACAGAGGAGTTCCCATCAGACTGTCAGCTGATTTCTCAAGAGACCTTACAGGCAAGAAGGGGCTGGAAAGAAGCATTCCAAGTCATGAAAGGCAAGGACCTACATCCAAGATTGCTCTATCCAGCAAAGTTTTCTTTTAGAATGGAAGGGCAGATAAAGTGCTTCTCAGATAAGGTCAAGTTAGAGTTTATCATCACCAAACCCTTATATGATATGATATGTTAAAGGGACTTATCTAAGAAAAAGATAAAAAATATTAACAGTAAAAAGACAGCAAACTCATGGTTATTAACAACCACACCTAAAACAAGAGCAAACTAAGGAAACAACTAGAACAGGAACAGAACCACAGAAATGGAGATCCCATGGAGAATTAGTAACAGGGGAGTGGGAGGAGGAAAGAGGGGTAAAAGGTACAGAGAATTACTAGCATAGACAATAGGTAGAAAATAGATGGGGAAGGCAAGAGTAGTGTGGGAAATGTAGAAGCTAAAGGACTTATGACACATGGACATGAACTAAAGGGGGGAAGGGAGGAGGGGGTATGCGGGGTGGAGGGGAACGAAGGAGGAAAAATGGGACAGCTGTAATGGCATAATCAATAAAATATATTAAAAATAGGCAAAAAGCAGCACAAGAAAAATTTTTAAAAATTTAATTTCTACATGAGTGAACATTTTTAGATCTTAACAAAACTATCTTTAAGGATTAAAATCTGAAAGGAATCCCACATTTGAGTTCTTAGACTTGTTACTTGTTATTACATCACACAACTATATAATAACGCAAAAAGATAAATTTTATTACATGTGATATAAAGCAAAAATGAACAGAAGCAGATAATTTGAATTTCAGCCCTCCTTTATAACTTTTCTGCTACTTAAAGAATCACTATTTTAGCCTCTAACAATTAAGACTTACCACCCATGGCCTTTTTGCTTCAAGCATCTCAATCAAATCTAAGTGTCGCTTACGTTCATAGAACCTCTCCACATCTTGTTTATATCTTTCATTTCTTTGAATCATTTTCTCTAGGTACTCAGTTTTTTCTTTGCATGAGGTCTAAAATAAATATTTGTTTAAACAATCAGTTTAACTGAAAAGACAACAGGTCATAAAAATAAAAAATGTATGACACTAACAAATTTCACAATAAAGAATTCCATAGACGTTGTTAAGTACTATGTAAAATTAACACACACATAAGTTATGCATGTTAGGCTCTAGGCTCTAAAATTCATTACTTGTGTAACTGTGAGGAAGCCTTGCCATGTGTCACTGAGCCTGGACCTCCTGTCTAAAGAAAGGTCTCTGCCTCATTCATCTCAAGGGTAGAAGCAACTCACTTGCTATAGGTGAAAGTTCAACAATAGCTATAATGTGATTTGCAAATGAAAATACTATCATTAATGTTATGAACACCCATGACTTAAGGACTTAGAAGATAAAGGAAAGCTAAAATTTAGTTCTTAAGTTGCAAAACAGAGTAACAAATACAAAGATGTACTTAGAATTTAGTAGAATATACTCTTGTCATTTCTCAAGACAGTGGGAAGTTTCAGTAAGTGTTTCAGATGGGAATATTAGATTTTGATATGGGAAAAGGGAAAAGGTAAAAGGACTGATGGAGTACCTGCAGTAAGATAAAATAATAACTACAACACCTTTGATCATTTATTCTAAGTAAGTGCAATAATAAAAATAATATTAAATTATAACAACACATGATCAAGCACTGATAGTTACAGTTTGAGAAAAAGTGTCAGTTTACAGGATTACTTATTAAAAAGACTTATTAATATGTTTTAGTTGCTGGCCCCTGAAAAATGATTCATTAAACAAAAGACCTTTACAAACAATATGCAAAAAAGGTATTTTAAATATATATGTTTTATTAAAGTTGAAAATAAAAACTCCACACTACTACTAAATGTATAGTTGTCTTACAAAGTCCACCCTCATGCAACTGAAAAAATATGAGTATAGTTGTCTTACAAAGTCCACCCTCATGCAACTGAAAAAATATGAGCACTGGTTCAATAGAGACACAATATTAAAAGCTGTTTGGTGGCTGCTGCATTACACAGAACCTTCCACATTGCCTGGCATATGGGAGGCATTTAACAAATATTAAATGAGTAAGAGAATAATCCTTACACTCCCGAGAGGAAAAAAAAAACTTTATAATACTATCAGTCCTTAGAAATTCAATTAATAACATATATTTAGTGAAATGATAGTCAAATTTTTCAAAGTTTACATTTAGCAAATCCATTCTCACTTTTTGTCACCTAATTAATGTTAGCAATACAAGCCTATGTGAAAAAAAAACCCCACAAATATATGAATTTACTCAATGAATTAGAATTCACTTTCCCACATCTTGAGAAATGGAAATTAATGAGGGATAAAAATGAGTCATCCATTTATAAATACCTCTAGTTGTTTTTCTTTTTCCCTGAAGTTTTTGAGCTCACAGTGGTATCTGTGCATTTCTGGAGGACCAATTGATTTCTCAGTAGCTTCAAGTAGTTCAATTTTACTGAGTTTAGCAAATTCTCCAACTTTATCCTAGAACACAAACCTTAAATATCAGCAACAATTATCATTTACAAATACCTTCAAAACACACTTCACTCAATGATCACAGTCATCAAGATAAAATAAATTTTTATTTTGAGATGTGTTCTTAATATGAACTCTGTCCTTTCACATATATTCTTTAAAATAAAACTAAACTTAGGATATAAACTGTCATCCTTTTGAAAACCTTTAAACAAATTTATACATGAACACCTTGTTATACCATGCATAACAATCAACTCAAAATGGATTAAAGACTTAAATGTTAGACTCAAAACCAAAAAATCCTAGAAAACATAGGAAGTAAAATCTCAGGTATTTCTTGTAGCAACATTTCCCCCAATATATCCCTCTAGACTAGGAAAACAAAAAATATATATAAATAGGACTACATCAAACTAACAGTTTCTGCACAGCAAAGGAAACCATCAGTAAAATGAAAAGACAACCGACTGAATGGGAGAAGATATCTGCCAATGATACATCTGATAATGGGCTAATAGCCAAAATTTATAAAGAATTTACAAAACTCAACACCAAAAACACAAAGAGCCCCATTAAAAAATGGGCAAAGGACCTGAAGAGACACTTCTCTAAACAAGACATACAGATGGCCCAATCATCATATGAAAAGATTCTCAATGTCCCTAACCATGAGAGAAATGCAAATTAAAACTACACTGAGATAATCACACATTTGTCAAAATAGCTATCATCAGTAAGGGAACCCTTGTGCACCATTCATTGGTGGAAATGCAGATTGGTGCAGGCACTGTGGAAAGGAGTATGGAATTATGTCAAAAAATTAAAACTGAAGCTGCCTTATGACACAGTGATTCCAATTCTGGGAATGTAGCTAAACAAACCCGTACCACTAATTCGAAAGAATATATGCACCCCTATGTTCAGTGGAGCTTTATTTACAAATAGCCAAGATTTGGAAGTAACTCAAGTGCCCATCAATAGATGAGTGGACAAAAATGCTGTGGTACATTTACACAATGGAATACACTTGGCTGTGGAAAAACGAAGGAAATCTTACCTTTTGAGATAGCATGGATTGACATGGAGAGTATTATGCTAAGTGAAATAAGCCAGTCAGAAAAAGACAAATACCATATAATTTCACTTATATGTAGAATCTAATGAACAAAATAAACTAATAAAATAGAAACAGACTCCTAGATACAGAGAACAGACTGACAGCTGTCAGAGGGAAGGTAGGGTTGAGGGACAGGGTGAAAAAGGTGAAGGGATTAAGTAAAAAGAAAAGACAAATCACTCTAAAACAAACAAAAAACCCTCACAGACACAGACAAACAGTATGTTGCTTTCCAGAGGGAAAGGGGGGTTAGGGGCTAGAAGAGGGTAAAGGGAGAGTAACTGGTGATGAAAAGAGACTTGACGGGGTTGTGAACACACAATATAATATACAGATGATGTGTTCTACCCCCTGTGAAACCAACATAATTTTATGAATCATGTCATTCCAGTAAAGTCAATACAAATTCTATGTCAATATTTTCTGGCTGAAAGGTTTATATTCACATAATAAAGTTTGGAATAAAAGAAAAAATAGTCCCCTGAATGGAAATAATCATGTATTATGCATCAATTGGAATGTTAAAAAAAGAAGCAATTTTAAACATCTACTTCTAGAAATCATCTGACATCAACTGATAAATGATTTCTAATTTTAATTGATATAAACATGTAATCAAATCACCGTTTATGAAGAAAAAAATGAACTACAAGTCAGTTAGTTACTAGACAGCATTCCAAAACAAATTTAAAACGTATTTGATTTTAACAGTTAACATGCATCACCAAGATGTTTTATTTTTACTGAACATATTTAAAGTATATAAAGGTTTCACAAAGCATGTCAAAAGATTTAAGAGTTTTAGTATATCAAATATCTTACACAAAATCACTGATTAACTTGTTAACAAAATTTTATGAGCCCACAAATGGAAGAACATAATTCAAGCTACTCTCTGTACTTTTAATACAACTTTATTACCTGAACAATACTCTAATAACATAGACTTTTTAATTAATTGAAAATTTCTAAGTTACTAGAAGATAAGGTTATACTTTAAGACAGTGATTTTTCACTTTCTATAAAGTAAAGGTTATACTTTAAGACAGTGATTTTTAAATCAGGAATTTAAAAATTCCTAAGAATTTTTAAAATATACAACACCTAACTATTCAGTCAGGGGCACGGACTTTTTTCCCCTTAGATTGTCAAATAAAAAATGGTGACAACCAACATAATCATAGCTGTCCAGTGTGGATGAATCAAAATTATACCTTTTTTTTTGGTCCAATGGGCAAAAATGTTTTTTGGTGTAACACAGAGAAGTTAATAATTAGTTTATGTGTGCCAGGAGATGAAAAAGGTTGAAACTTGCTGTTGTAAGAAATGCCACCTTTTAAAAAGAATGGTTAGTATTAAGACTACTATGCTCAGTTTAAAGAGTAATCTTTACAATATCCCTGAAAAGGTATTTATATCCTTAAACAGCATAAAAAGGAAACATTATTTACAAAGGTCTTCCAGCTTCACATTTAATTCTCTCGTACCTGAGGTAGAAACTGGCAAAGATTTCCCACTTGAATGTTTAAGGCTGCAACTTTTTCTTCTACTGTTTTCTGGGTAGTTGATTTTTTGTTGATGTACCAAAAGGACTGATTTTTTGCCACATCAATCTCACGGGTAATTATAAGATTTCCAGAAGTCCTGAACCTAGTTAAAAAATAATTGTAAAATCTTTACATTCAAAATAATACAGTATTTCAGAAATAAAGTTTCCAAAATTCTCTTGCACCAAAGGTTGCTGATAGGATTATTATTATAATTTTTTTGCTTTTGATATTTTGGTCCCTCTAAAGAAGGAAACATTGACATTTTATTAGTAATAACACATGATTTAATACTCTTTCAACATTCAGAATCGTTTAAACTTAAAATCAAATGCCAATACTAACTCCTAAACACTGCCAGAAGATTTGCATATCTGGAGTTATTTATCCTTTAATCATTATGCTATTCTTCAATCAAATGTACTGACTGCAATTCTAAATTGGCTGGTATATAAGAGCATGTAACAGTTAAACCTTGAAAATCCCTCTACTTGGAAAATGTATGAATGAAACCAACTCTTGCGTATGCATTTCCAGACAGCAAAACTAGCCTGTATCACATGGCTACACGAGAACATTAAATGATAAAAAATTTGGAAGAAGGGTATTTACTTATTTCTTGCTTTTAGAAGTACTACTGATCCACACCTCCCATCTATCCATCTATCTTCTTCACTGGGAATCAGCAGTATGTGGAAGAAAGATAAATTATTGGTATCCAGTAGCTATATGACAATAATTTATAAATGCTGTATGTACAGATTATACCATAATCAACACTCTCCAAGCAGTAAAATTTTGGGAACCAAAAAAAAAAATGTAGTTTTAAATTTACATTCCCAACATAATGAGTAATAAAGACTCCTTTTTGATTGTCTTGCTACAAACAAAAATTAATAATAAAATGCTGAAACATCTTCATAAATGCACTTATAAGTTAGCATGAACAAAAGGTAGTCTGGTCAAAAATCCCAAGTAGGAACCCAGGAGTGAAAAAATGAGGGCATCTGGCAAACCAAGTAAGCTTGCACATTCATTTTCAAGATATAACAGGAGAGGGGCATTGCAGACACGCTCAGAGCTACAAAGGTAGTGAGTCTATAGCCCAAAGGCTATACCTTCAATGTAAGAACAAACCACCTGCACCACCTCTACCACCACCATCACCACTACCTGCACCACCACCACCACTTCCCACCTGCACCAGGGTGAATTGCCTGTCTTAAACAATAGCTTGAACTGTGAAACAAGCGAAAAACCTCCCCCAAGAGTTACTGAACAGTCAGTCTCAAATAGAGTTGTATCCTGAAGTTAAATGACATACCTAAGGAGGTTCAAAACCCCTCAAACTGAGAGTTCTATATATTGTGATCCTGGATTTAAAGTGTCCAATGGTCTCTGACAGAAATTAATAAAAACTCCCTCTGTAGGAAATCTGCCTTTACCCTCAAAGAATTAACACAGATACAGTCCAAAGATAAAGGAGTATCTCTCTGGCTCAATGGCAAAACACACACATGAATGTGCACACGCATGCATGCACACAGTGTCAAGAACAAGAACTAGCAGAGGTGGCAGAAAAGGAAAATCATATTAGAATTAATGGACTCCAGAATAAATTATGTACATTTAACATATTTTAAGAAAAGACTGAAAACATAAGCAAACAATAGGAACATCTGAAAAAGAACCAAAGAGAAATGGAGCTAGAATGTCACACAGAGACATAAAAAGAAGAAAAATATGGAAGATGTTAAAAGACATGGATGTATGACTAAGAAAGCCTAACATTACACAAATAAGAGTTCTAAAAGTGAGGGAGACAGAATAGGTCAGAGGTAATATTTGAGGATTTATTAAACAGATGAATTTTCCAAATCACATATTGAGGAAGCTCATTAAATCCCAAACAAAATAAAAAATAAACCCACACCTAAATATATAATGTAAAGTTAATAAAACACCAAAAGAGATGCAATTTCAAAATCCTCTTGACAAAAAAATTACTATGAGAGAAACCAAGAGTAGATGCACAACTGAAGATAAAATTATACTTTGCATGTGCTGAAAAATATCAATGTAAAATTTTATATCTAGCAAATACAATTGTCAAGAGCAAAATAACATCATTTTCAGACCAAAACTATGTATTCCACTAGAAGACCCTCATTAAAGGAAACTTTAAAGAATGTCCTCTAGGAGAAAGAGATCCCAAAGGGAAGAACACAAAGAGAAGAAAAAAATAAAAAGCAAGGCAAAAAGAAAATATGTGGGGTAATTCCAAACGAACACTAACAGTATAATAGTTATCTTGAAAGGTTTAAAAATAAGATCAAATTAAAATAGCATATAAGTTCAGAGAAGATGTTATGATTAAAATAATAGTACTTCAAGGTCTTATTCAGTAGGAAGATGAAGATATTTAATTAACATTAGACACTAAAGTGTTTATGTTAAGGGACCTCTGGTCAAGATGGCAGAGTAGGCAAAAGCTGTGCTCACCTTCTCCCAGGATCACATCAAAACTATAGAAAAACCATCATTGATAACCACCTTAAGACTAGCTGAACAAAAGTCCTACAATGAAAGACACAAAGAAGAAGCCACAAAGAGACCAGTAGGAGGGGCAGAGACATAGAATGGGCAGGTTCCAGACCCATCGTGTGGCAGTTAAATAACAGGAAGTATATCTTGGCTCCAGGGGTCCCCCCAGAGGAGCACACAGGCTCTCGGCTCCAAAACCAGGTCCCCAGCCTAGGGCCATGTGCTGGGAAGAGAAGTCCCTATAACAGCTGGCTGTAAAAACCAGCATGGATTGCACCTGAGTGAGACACAAGTCTGCTGGAGTCCCAGACGCTCCTCTTGAGGGGCCTATGCAAATCACATGCTTACAGACACTCACCTGCTCTGTGAGACTCCAGTGCGGAGCAGCAGCTTAAAAAGCACCAGGGACATAAGGGGAGAAACAAAATCGACTCGCTTCAGAGGGACAGCTGGGACTGGAGTCATGGTGGCTTTCTCTTGGGATGTAAAGTGCTGGTGCCATGACTCTTTTGCTGACCCCTTTCCAACAGGCCAGTTAGGGCAACCAGGTGCGAAATCTGTGATCTCCATTAACCTCATTAACACTATTTTTGCTGCTTGTTGATCCCCCAAGGCCACACCCAAATCAAGCACTAGCTCAAGACACTTCTAGAAGCTTTTCCACCCAAGCAGCCGGCCTACACTAGTGCTATAGATTTCCTAAAATCTCTCAAAGTCCTCAAGACTGCAAACAAACAGCAGCTGCATTCAGTGTGCCCTGTACCTCTTGCTAAATACCCTCAAGCCCAGCACAAGCAGCACCAGGTCTCAACTTGCATCTTAATGCCCATCAGGTGGTCCCGAGACTGGAAAAAGCTGCAGCCTGTATTTGTCTGGAATTTAGCTTCAACTAGAAGCAGCTGGCCTCAGCTCACACTGTGGCATCCAACAAAGGGTCCTGAGCACAGCATTAGTGGCAGCCAGCCTCGGTTTGCAGCATAGCCTCTCCCAAGCACCTCTAAGACCAGCACGTAAACTAACCACAGACTACTTTGTAGGTCCCACTAGGTAGACGCAGGCCAGGCACAAATACAGATAATCAAAACCTGCACTACCTAGGAGTCTCTAGAAGCAACAAACCCAGTGGCCGGCTTCACAGCACACTGGAGCATACCTGACCAGCTCCACAAACAACACCTGAAGTGTGGATTCAGATGGCACCAGAGCCCTGCTAAACCAACTCCTACTCTGTTCGGTAAGCCCCCACACAACAGCTTGTCTGCTGTAGTTACCGTGAGCCCTCACAGCCAGTCCATATGAAGGTCAATCCCATCCACTGATGTGCCAACAGCAATCAAGGCTCAGCTACAATAGGATGGCACACACAAGCCACACAAGTAGTACTCCTAGAGCAATGGGCTCAGATGAACAGAGAGACTGTGCCACTGGGCCTCACAGGACATCTACAACTTAAAACCACTCTGCCAAGCCTAGGAGACATAGATCTACCCAATACATACAAACAAACAGGGAGTCACCCAAAATGAGGAGACAAAAACATATCCCAAATCAAAGAACAGGACAAAACTCCAAAAAGAACTAAATGAAATGGAGAAAAGCAATGAACATGATTTTAAAGGTGCTCAATAAACTTAGGAGGACACATAGATGAACTCAGTGAAAACTTCAACAAAGATATGGAAATCATTAATACATTAGAGGGAATAAACAGATTAGTTGAAGCAGAGGACAGAATCAGCAATTAGAAGACAAAGGCTCAGAAAACACCCAATCAGAACAGCAAATGATAAAAGAATTTTTAAAAATGAGGACAGTTTAAATGACATCTGGAAAAACAACATATGTTAACAGCATTCACATCTCAGGGGAACCAGAAAGAGGAGAAAGAGCTAGGAATTGAAAACCTATCTGAACAAATAATGATGGAAAACTTCTCTATCCTGGCAAAGAAAACAGACATACAAGTTCAGGAAGCACAGTGGTCCCAAACGGGATGAAAGCAAAGAAGTCCACACCAACACACATCCTAAGTAAAACCCAAAATTGAAAACAGAATTTTAGACTTCCGCCAAGATGGAGGTATAGATGCCGTACCTCCTCACACAACCAAGTTTAGGGACAACTAAATATGAGCATCAGAAAACACAACCAGAACACGGAAAATTGAACTTTTTGGAAGTCCGGTAACAACAAATTCTTCAGCCCGACCGGTAAGGGGCGAAACCGGCGTCTCGTGAGGGGTTGCACAGGACTCCGGTCGGACGGACCCAGGCGCAGAATCCAGACGCGCGAATCCAGACGCACGGGTTCCAAACCCAGGATTGGACCTAGTGAGCGACCGAGCAACCCACCGGGTGAGCTACTGCTGAGGAGACAGTGGGGAGGTGGGGCTGCATGTTGACTGCGGTTGCCTATCTGTGGGCGAGCGGACAGGCGAGGGAGTGGGCGCTTGGACCGGGCCCGGCGGTCCCCGGCGGTCCCCGTGGCTTGCGGCAGTAGAGGGCGCCGCCATATCCCCGCTCTGACCACGCCCCCACATACAGCGTCACAATCCAGCGA